AGGCATCCCAAGAAACAGTTTTTCACCTAGAGAGAATCCAAGTCTCCCACCTCCTAGGAGACAGAAAATCGGTACTGTAAGGGCCTATTTTAGCCAGAGCACTTCCATCCAGGTTAAACAATAACCTTGTTGTTTAACGCTTAAACTGTCCCTGCCCCCCTTCCCCAGGCGACTTACTTAAAAACAAGTCCAGGAAACCAGTCCCAGGTAACAAAGCCCAAATACAAGGGTGGGTCAGGCTAGGTGGAGACATCCGATCAGTAGGGGGGCGCATACTGTCTCCCTAGTTACCAAGGAGTATGGGCCCCGCCCCTTGGGGCACCTTTTGGGCGCCAATTCTGACCAAGGTGATAGGCTGGTTCAAATATCTACTATAGGGTAAATTATAATTCAATTGGTCACTTATGTATGACCTAACATGACTGTGCAGCTTTCTCCATGTGTTACAATCTCATTGGCCACCTGTGCGTGGCCAGGCCCAACCACATGGCTTTTGCCCTTAAAAGCTAGTCTGTGAAACAGAGAAGGGTCGCCCTCTCTGTAAGAGGCGCGGCCCGGGCCAGTCCGTTTGATGGTCGGTTTGATTCTCGATGCTTGGCGCGAAATAAAGCTTTGCTTGACCTTCCCTTTGTATCAGTCTCGCTCCTTTAATCACGGACCCATTACTGGGGGACCTAACAGGTATAGTTCTCAAATCCCTCCCACAGCCTGCCCCACTCTTTCTCTACTTCTGCCCGCAAAGTAAGCAGCTTGCGCCCTCCGCTATCCACACCCGCAATGACAGCACAGCGAGCAGGATGTTAGAGCCACCAAGAAATGTGCGCAGGGTCTTTTGTGCGATACAGCCTGATAAAGGGATTCCTTGCCTCAGCAGCCAGTCAGCCTCACCGTATGACCATTTGGACAGACAGTGGCAGTGAGAAGATGTGGATTCAGGGGCGTATAGTTGTGTGAGCTTGACAAGGTCATTCTCTCTTTCCTCAAATACTGTCTTCACTTAGCTTCTGGGACAGCCCACTCTCCAGGTCGTACCTCCCTCCCTGCTGTTTGTTCACTTTTTAATCTGCCGTCCTCCTCCTCTTCCTAAATTCTGAATGGTAGTTTGCTTGCAGGACCCTCTCCTGGAGCATCATCTCATGCATGGTCCCAGGGATTTTGAACACTTTGGAATATGTCCTACATTTGTAGCATCAGCTCCCCAGGGCCTCCCACCTTAATAGTTTTGGACACTCAGATACAAATTTCTCCTCCCTCGCTCCCTCCCTTTTTTGTCAAATTATGTGGATAACTTCTCCCTCTACAAGTAGCCATTAGGTTCCAGTTATGGTCGTTCATTGCTATTTTTTTTCTCTTAACTTGTCTAGAAAAAGGCAAAAAAGACCCTTTCACTGTTTGCAGTGAGAAATCCTTTGTTGCCCTTGAGAATCAACTGAAACTGACCCTTTCCGGAAAGAGTCGGTGAAATGCAGGAGGAAAAAACAATGAATTCACAGAAGAGCTTGCTCCCACCCACTTGGAACATAGCCCCTTCAGCCAACCTGTTTGATCAGCTGGGGGAAAAGCACCCTCATTTACATAACCTTCTGGCCCTTTGTGTTTCGAGATGGCACCAGTCCAGGGAAGCAGTTTCCATATGAATGAAGGAGGATAAAGGCCCACCAGTGCCCATGACACCCCACAGGATATGGCTACTCCAGATTATCCAGGAATTTCTGGTTGTTTCTGTATAGTCTTGCAAAATTGCAAATGTGTGTGCCCTTTAACAGTTCAGTGAGCAAATACTATATTAGTTTAGGAAATAGTTATGAATCACTTGTGTGCCAAGTGCATATAAGCTCTCTTACTGGGTGCTTCAGGGATTAGTGCTGCAGCCCCGACTTGGAGAAGCAGACAGTCCTGTGAGAACACCTAAACGTTGAATCATATGCCTAATAGACTGGGCACACCAGGAACCGAGGCACTGTCTTTTCTCTGTCTTCTGTATCGCGGAAGTATCATGTTGAGGACATGAACAGGGGATCAAATCCATAGTTCTCCCAGTGAATTTCCATAATTAAAACCAACAATTTTACCAGCCAAATTTCAGAGGAAGCCAGAGCTCCCTTCTGTCCTGTCAGGGGCCATACGACAGCCACAACATCTTACATGGTAGGAAGTGATGACAGGCTGAGAAGAATAAAGAATGCTTCGTGTGGTTCAAATCAAAAGGACATCTGAGTAGAGAGAAAGGACAGATCAGCACTGAAATTAGCCTCCACACCAGAGATGTTGCTTATTAGGGAAAGAATGTTTCACATCTGAAAAAAAACCAACAACAACAAAAACCACACAAGTGGCTAGAAGGTTTGAGTACTCATCACAAAATTGCTTTTGAACTGAATTCACACCCTTTAGTGGTTTCCATTAGAAAATGAAGCTCATCAAATACACAGGTGTCTACTCACTTATGGTTCTCAGAGCTGGGACTGGACCACAGAGGAGGAAATAAAAGGCCTCCTGAGGCAGTTGCCATCTCTTCCGCATTTAGAATCCGGTTCCAAACCTTGTCCACGTTTACTTACTGTCTCTGTACTTGTATCTGCTCTAAATAACAACACAGGCTTCCAGCTGAGTTAAACCCAAATTAGCAGAGCACTGGCCCTAAGACATTTAAAAATGTGTAAAGAGGAATGACCACTGTTCTCTCACACTATAATTTCAAATGGCCATTCCTGTATTGTATAGTTTTTAATAGTGAAAGTGTTTTATTTTTATTTTTTTTTAAAGATTTTATTTATTTATTTATTTGACAGACAGAGATCACAAGTAGGCAGAGAGGCAGGCAGAGAGAGAGAGAAGGGGAAGCAGGCTCCCCGCTGCCCAGAGAGCCCGATGTGGGGCTCGATCCCAGGACCCTGGGATCATGACCTGAGTTGAAGGCAGAGGCTTTAACCCACTGAGCCACCCAGGCGCCCCGAAAGTGTTTTATTTTTGTTTTTGTTTTTGGGTGAGATGGAAAAAACACTCAGCTGCTCAGTGAGGCAGAGATAAAATATTCTGTAGAAACAGCACTGACGGAATAGGCAGAGCCCCTGGGCCGTCAATTTGTGAACACACAATTTGTGGCACAAGACAGGTGTATTGTTGCAGATTCGAGGTCCAGAAAAGGATTTTATTTTATTTAAAAAATTTCATAATAAACACTTCATGGCAAACCAGTTTTATGATAAATGACTGAAGGGAATGAAAAGTCGATACAGTGGAGTCAAATCCTGGCACTCCCCTGGCAGTTTTACTAGTTTTCTCCTGCTGCTCCCCGGCACGTTTTTCTTTTCCTCTTACATTTTATAACAGGGGTCTCGCTTTTCTGGTAGTGCTTGTAAGATTTGTTAATCAAATGAATCGAGTCCTACCTGGGGTATCTAGGGAATCTAGGACAGCGTGGCCTCTGGGGACACTCTGTCAGGGGCATCAAGTCTCCCTTGTTTGGATATTTTTTTCTGGCTGAAAACTCTATGCTTAACATTTAGTTTCTTTCATCTTAATCCAGAGAAATCATGGTGATTGAGAGGGAACCACACCAGGATCTGGGAACATGAGGTTGCACTCATTCACCTTCTGCCCTGGTTTAAGTACAACAGTGCAAGTACAAGTGGGAAAATCAAGGTTGTCCGGGATGCAAAACCATCCTGTGATGACTCCTATGGCCGTGGAAATGTACTGATGGGGGGAGTGTGAGAGTGTGGATGTGGCAGGTGAGTTATGAGTTCGTGTGAATGGGTTTGTGAAGGTGTAGGAGTTTGAATGAATGTGTGTCTGTAAATGCTTGTGTGTAAGTATGTGCATGTTTGTGTAAGTTTTTTTGAGTGAATGTGTTTGCTTCTGTATGTTACTTGTGTGTTTGCCTAACATTTTTAAAATCTGTGTCAGTGTGTGTATTACTGTAAATTTATGAGTCTAAATGTGTGTGTGTTTATGTATAATTGGTTTGAGTGTGTATGTTAAGTGTACATGTATGTGTCTAGTGTGTGTGAGTTTGGGTATGTGTTTGCGTGCATGTTTTGTCTGTTAATGTGTGTGTCTGGGTGAGCATGTAAATGTGTGCACATGTGTAGTCGCCTGTGTAATGTGCAACTGTAAATGGCTTTGCATTTTTGTGTGAAGTACACATTGCGGTTGTATTTGCATATATGAGTGCAAATTTTGTGTGTGTAAGTATTGTGTGTGTTTGTATGTGAGTGTGACTGAATTTGTGACTGTGTGTATGTGTATTCTTGTTTGTATGAGAGTGAACGTCGTGTGAGAACTGTGGAAGTGCGAGCACTGTGTTGCGACTGTGCGCGCTGTGCCAGTGTGCATCTGGGTGCATGCGAGTGTATATATTGGTCTGTGCGTGCGGGCGCGCGTGTGAGCGGGTGAGCGCTGCCGCCGCGCGCCGGCAGCGCCCGGCTTTCCGCCCCACGGCGGCGCGGCAGCAGAGGCGGCAGCCGGCCGGGCTGGCGGGCGAGGGTGGACGCGCGCGCCGGGGTGAGCGGCGCCGCCGTCACCGCCGCCGCGCCGACTTTGCCCTTTAAATCGGTCTCCAAGCCGATTACAGCTATCTCCCACGTGACGTTTTACCTTCTGTCTCCCGGAGCGAATTGCCCGAAGACAGTCCTCCGCGGGCTGCCGCGCGTCGCGCCGCCCCAGCCCGCCGCGGGGCTCCGGCTCCCGCAACTTTGGGCGAAGCGGCGGCGGGCCGGGGCGCCCTCTCGGGGCCACTTTTCCACGCGGGCGTCGGGGGCTCCTGGGGCTCCGCTCGGCCAGGAGGGCGGCGGTCGCGGCCGAGAACGTGCCCTGGCCGCAGCCAAGCGCCCCCCGGACCCGCGCGGCGCGGCGCCCCGAAGGCCGGCAGGGTGCCCTGCGCCCTGCGTCAGACAAGGGGGCGCCCTTCGCCCGGACCGGACCGCAGAGGGCGGGCCCCGGGGCGAGCCGGCCTGGAGATGGCTGCGAGGCACGGGTGAGCCCCCCGCGCCCTCACCATGCAGAAGAGCGTGCGCTACAACGAGGGGCACGCCCTGTACCTGGCCTTCCTGGCCCGCAAGGAGGGCACCAAACGCGGCTTCCTGAGCAAGAAGGCAGCCGACGCGAGTCGCTGGCACGAGAAGTGGTTCGCTCTCTACCAGAATGTGCTCTTCTACTTCGAGGGCGAGCAGAGCGGCCGCCCGGCGGGCATGTACCTCCTGGAGGGCTGCAGCTGCGAGCGGACGCCCGCGCCGCCCAGGGCCGGAGTCGGGCCGGGCGCTGCCCGGGACGCGCTGGACAAGCAGGTAGCACGCGCCCTCCCTCCTCCGTCTCCCTCCCTGCGGCCGCGGCACTCTTTCTTCTTCCAACCCTCGAGGTCTAGGGCTTGACCGAACGCGGGAACCGTGCTCCGAGATCCAAGGTCCCTCTGCGGTGTCAGGGGCAGGACATCTCCACGCGCCACCCCGTCTCCATCCCCTACCCCCCACCTCCGTGTAATCGGAATGGAGGCTCCGCTTTATTGCTTTCGCGACCCTGAAAGCGGTCGGGTCTTTTCAGTTTCATTGTCAACCATCCATTTCTTCTCTAGACCTAGTTCGGAAGAATTTAGTGTGGTGACGTGTGTTGACACCTGTTGGGTTTAGACTGGCACGACGGAACTAACTTATTTGGGAAAGTTTGGTTTCTCCCTCACCCGGCTGGTGCGTGTAGGGGTTTTTTGTTTTGTTCTGTTTTTGTCTTTTGGAGGTTATTTTGCTTGCGCATGTTTGATCGCTGGCTGTGCAAGGAACAAACGGGGGCTCCCAGGAAGGACAGGCACTTTCTTTTGGCGATTTTCGGTGTTTTGGTATGTCGGTTTACCTTGCTCACATTTGACCTGCTGGGTCTAATTATGGAGGTAAATGTGTATCCATTTCCCTCAGGATTAGTATTTGGTAGCCACATTCCTGTTATGTTTAAACCTGTGGGCATTTTTAGAGAACGCTTCTCTGTACTTTTAAATGAATGCTTCAAAAATAAATGTGACCTTTTTATCCTGGGTCATAATTTTATTAGTTTTGCTGTGTATGCGTTCGGGGAGGAAAAAGCAAACCCTCTAGATGTAGTAACTCCTGCCAACCCCCCCCCCCCAATTCCTGCGAATGCGAAATTTGTATTTTCTTTTTCCTCCAGTCACCGTTCCGCTAATAAAGTTAGAGCAGACTAATTTTATGCTCCCAAATGTTCTCACTTTGCTTCTAGATCTCCAGCTCGAAAAAAAGAGGCTGATTGTCTTTGCTGTTGAGTAAAAATGTTTCGCAGCTGAATTTCCCCTGCAGTTCAGACCAAACAGCTTCCCCTGCAAAAACCTGGCTGTGGGAGGCGCTAGCGATGGGATGATGAATAAGATGCCTACATAACCCCTAGGGCTCATAAAACAAGTGTGTAAAATTAAGAGGGAGTTCAAACTAGATCAACCAGAAATTTTTTTTCCACTTTGGTTTCACTATAAATCATTAACAGATTGAACTGATTAAACTTGTTATATTGCACATGAATCTGATATTTAAAAAATACACCTTTGGTTTTTGATGGCATGTTGCGGGTTCTTTGAAAAGCTAATTTTCAGTTTTGTAGCTACAGATACTGGAAATAGAAGTTTACATTTCAAGTCATGCATTTTAGAATTTAAGAGCATGAAAAGGGTGTTGAGGAAGCAGATTTTCAGTATCTACTTTTTTTTTTCTCTTGCTGAGATTTTTTTTTTTAAAGGTATGTGTTCCAAGGCCCCCCAGGAGCCAAAACCAATAAGTTCTTTCTTTCTTTTTTTTTTTTTTTTTTAAGATTTTATTTATTTATTTGACAGAGATCACAAGTAAGCAGAGAGGCAGGCAGAGAGAGAGGTGGAGGCAGGGTCCCTGCTGAGCAGAGAGCCGGATGCGGGGCTCCATCCCAGGACCCTGGGATCATGACCTGAGCTGAAGGCAGAGGCTTAACCCACTGAGCCACCCAGGCGCCCCAAAACCAATAAGTTCTTAAGTGTTATTATGTGTAAAAGCAAATAGGTACTTTAAATTATCCTGAATATATATCATTGACTTAATTCCAAATTATTTTTTCTCCTTGTATTTATACTGATATCAGGAGATAAACACTTTCTTCTTTCTTTTCTTTCTTTCTTTCTTTTCCTTCCTTCCTTCCTTCCTTTTTCTTTCTTTTTGAGCTGGGGGTGTGAAGATGTTACTTGCTGCAACTTATCTGGCTGTCTGACTAGTTAACATATGAAAACCAGCATTTTTCTACTTGGATATTATCTGGACTCTCCTCTTCAGGACAGCTTTCTCTACACCACACTTTAATACATAAACGTAACCTCCAAATAGTATGACTTTAATACCACTTTCTAATGGAAGTCCTGAACAGGTCTTCCTAGGGAAAAAAATTCCGTTTGCCATACAAGTCATGAGTATTTCTCACTCCTTCAGTACATCTTTAAGAGGATAGAAATTGGAACCCTTGGTACCTGTAGAAAAACTGAGAAGTAAAGAACAAGCATTTCAAAATGGATTAGGAATTGGATTGGGAAATCTGCCAGATTTTTGTCTTCGGTTAGGTTTGCTTCTGTGACTTAGGTTACCTTAGCAGATGGATGCTTCTCTCTAGCAGGGTCTGTCTGGGTGTGTCTGAAGAATTAAGGAGAAACTGCAAAGATAAGAAACAAGAAGAAACTTCTGCCTTAAACCTGCAGTTCCTGGTGTTGGTTCCCTTTCAGTTCACTGGTGATCCTATGCGCTCACATTTTCTCAAGCACCTAGACTTGAAGCCGGCAAAGTTGAGACTCTGAGCGGGGTCCATCTTAAGCTCTGTTTCTCCAAAGGTGCTCCTGAAGCTTTCTGAGTAAATATCTCCATCAACCCCATGAATGCAGTTGAAGGTTAGGGCTTGGAACAGGATTTAGCAAGGCAGAGTGGGTTACCGCCACCATGTTGCCGTGACTTACATACCCCCATCTCTTAACAATTCCTGGTTTTTTTCTGTGAATGAAACCCATTTCTTAATATTTAAAATTAAGAGTTTGGCTGAGAAGATTTCAAGTTGTCTTCCAATAATGACATCTCCTGTTTCTAATGTTGTAACAGCAGTGTGAGCTTTTGCTGTGTAGAGGGTGTGACAGACCATTTCACAAGATTTAAAGTTTACCGGTCTCTGCGATAAATACTAAATCTGAGAAGCTGAAGACAAGCAGGTGATCAAAGCGGACATTCTAATAAATCAGTTAGGTTAGCAGATTTGCAAACCAATAGGAATATCATTGCTACAGGAGGAGACTTTCTTATTTACCCTGGAATGTGATGTAATGCTGTTGACAGTTGCTTATAGTTAATGTAATTTTTGCTATAAAATGCCTCCAATCATTCTTAATGATGCTACTTATCCTTCAAATAATTCTTAAACTCTGATTAATTGTGTTTTTCAGTAAGTTATATAGTAAGAGGAAAATACTCATTGGTTTGCTTCTTCTAAATAATCCAAAGTAAGTAGGTTGACAAAAGAAAAAAAAATTAAGGTGCTTTTTTTTTTTAAAACCACTGTTCAAGTGGTTTAAAAAAAAAAAAAAAACTGTTTCCAGTTAAAAAAAAAAAAGGTGTTTTTCCCTTTCCAAATGTGCCTGGGTTAAAGGGATATTTGCACTGCTCCCTTTTTTCAAGAATGTCCCAAAGATTTCACTTTGTAGGTCCTTGGTTGATGGCAAAGCTCTGATATCAAGTTTCCATAGTGGCTACTTTTTAGGTACTTTTAGTTACAGTGATAAAATCAAAATGACTTCAGCTAAAAAAATTTCAAGTAGTGTGCCTTTTCTTGAACATGTGTGTTGGTGGCACTACTTTCTAAAGAAATCTCCATTTACACGAAATGAAAAACTTAACTTTTCATTCTAGGTAAATGTGTTCAAGGGGAATGGGAACTTGAGTTTAATAAGTACCTTCTGTGGGCCAAGCTCTGTGTTATCCTCCGTTATTGCATCGAATTTGAACCTCACTTCAGGTCTTAGAAATTGCCTGTTGTCCTTTTTTCGTTTGTACCTATGCCGGCACTGAGACTGAAAGCATTCTAGGGAGAGGAGGGTGATCCAAGTCCAGCTCTAGAAAAGAAAAATCTTGAAGAGTGCCGTAGGAAGGTGGCTACTTAAGTTGATTGAGCTTCAAGAAATTTAAAATCTGAGGGGCACCTGGGTGACTCAGTCAGTTAAGCGTCTGCTTTCGGCTCAGGTTTTGATACTGCTGTCCTGGTCTGGTCTCCCTCTTCAGCTGGGAGTCTGCTTCTCCTTCTCCCTCTGCCCCTCCCCCTGCTAGTGTGTGCTCTTTCTCTCTCTCTCTCTCAAATAAATAAAAAAAAAAAAAAAAAAAGGAATTTAAAAATCTGAGTGGTATGGGGGTTGGAATTGTAGTATGTGAATCACTATTTTGTTTATTCCTATTTCCCTTTAAAAACTATTTCCAGGGCAGTTGCAATTCTTGGGGAATGTAACTGCAGACCACTGTATTTTTAAAGAAAAATGAGACTTATGTTTAAACAAACAATTTTACATGGCATTCATTTCCTTTGGTAAGGGATCTTTAAAAATATTTGCACTTAGGGGAAAGTACACGTTGGTTAGTCTAATCTGCTTAAGAGACTGTATGTGTCTTCCCTGCTAGCAGGAGAGACATATAGGAACAAAGCCGTGTTTATTTTTATTGTCCTAGTAATGTTAAATGTTCTGTTCATCCTGATTTCAGGCATTTTGGGTGTCAAACAGCTTAGTTCTGGAGGCTTGAAGTAGTAGATACTTGTCATATCTGTGATGAATTAAACATGTTAATTTAATTTTAAAGGGATTGAAGGTTATGTGATTTCCCCTGTCGCCTCCTTACTAGCCAGTCATTTTAGTGCTCCTAACTTGACTGCAAGTGGAGGATTTTAATCATTTTATGGAAGTAGGCAGAGCTGTATGCCATCCCTGAAATACTCGTGGAGGGTAGGGAGTGTGGATGGTGGATATTCAGTCTCGTTCATGTCGTTTAATTGATATGTAATAACCAGCTCACTATTTTCTCTTCAACCTTTGCTTATTGAATGTAAGTGAAGGGAAAATGGAATAAAAATATTAATTAAATCTTACAAAGTGTTTTAAAACATAATTTAAGGGAGAGAAATGATTTATTAGTGGAACTTTGTAATCTTTCAAACTTAAATGAAAAATAATCCATGGATTAGCAAAATGTAGTTACTTTAATTTTGGCTACACTAAACTTTACCATTTATATTATTGTAACATAATTTT